CAGTGAGCTGGGACCACGGGCCAAGAGGCGAGGAGAGCCAGCCCCGTCCCCCTGCTCCTTCCCCAGCCCGGCACGGGGCCGGGCCGGTTCCCACCGTGCTCTCGCTCCACGGTGGGGTTGGGGGTCTGGCCTCGCTCCCCAAGTCCTGGGGGCTGCAATCGGCTGCAGACTGGAACGGGAGGGCATCCGGAGCAGCTCCTCCTGCTCGGCCAGCTGGAAAACCGTCCTGCAGCAGCCAGGCAGGAGAGCTGGGCCTGCGACCGGGCGGGTGCTTCACCCGGCCCCCCCCCCGCCCCCAGGGGCTGCCGGTGGACCAGGCAGCTCTCTGCGCCCTGCGCCTCCCCAGCCCCAGCCGGTGATCCCTCCTGAGCCGGACGGAGGGAAGGCAGACTCGGGGCCGGCCAGTCGGCACGGCTGCAGCGCCGAGCAGCTCTCAGAACCAGAGCCGCCGGGGCCACCAGGCCAAGCACGGGAGGGCTCCCCCTGCTTTGGCCCCACGGCAAGGCCGGTGGCCTCCGCCAAGTCCCTGCACGCCGAACAGGGGGAAGGAGCTCCGAGGCAGCAGATGGTGCCTTGGGAGCTCCCCGCGGGAGTCCGTGTCCCGGCCGTCGCACAGGCACTCCTCCGCCAAAGCCCTGTGAAGAGGAGGGCTGAACGGGTGCTGGGCAGGCGGCAGCGAAGGCCTGCCTGCCGGGAACAGCCGCTTCGGCTTTATGGGGCCGGGCCGGCGCTCCTGCCGTGCTTCCAGGAGACGAGCTCGGCAGGGCACCGTCCACTTCCAGTGCCTGGACCCGTGGGGGTGGTTTGGGCCAGGAGCGGTGGGCTGCTCCTCTGGGGCTCCCCCGAGGGCCAGACCGGCACCCAGGTGTGAGACCGAGGCCTTCGGGGTCTGGGCCTGCGTGGAAGAAGCAGGCAGCCTCCCGTGCTCCTCCAGAGCCACGAGTGCGCTTCGAGGCCGGAGGGAGAGCGCGACCTCGTCCGCTCCCTGCATCCAGTTAGTCCAGCTGGAACTGCCGCCAGGAACCGGGGCCGGAGGACGGGCAGGAGGCGCGCGAAGGGCGGCTCTTTGGGAGGGGTGCCCGCGGCTCCTCCCAGCCTGGCGAGGATGACCCCCACATCCAGACCCCGGCCCCGACCCACGAGAGGAGCCCGGAAGCCCGTGCAAGGGGCTGGCCAGAAAGGGGGAGGGGGGCCGAGGTGCTCCGGCAGCGGACTGCAGCCCCGGGCCGGCCAAATCCGGGCCGACAGAGCAGCTTTGTGCAGCGAGCAGACCCAGGAGGGTCAACCGTGCTGGAACAGAGCCTGGGATTACGGATGCGAGGAGCAGGCGCCGCTCAAGCGAGCGCGAGGTGAGCTCGGCGGTTTCATTTCTCCCTTCCCCTTCTTCTAGAGCCGCTTGGCAGGTGGCGGCACGGCTAAATCCAGCGCAGGGAAGACGAGGGGAGCAAAGGCCAAGTGAGAAGAAGGCGCATTTCTTGTCACCGGGAGCAGCAATTAGAATCGCCTCACAGGGAAAACAGGAAATGTTCCGCCACAGCAGCCGAGATGGGGCGAAAGATGCGCAAAAGATCAACCCCAAGTAATTGGGCTGGAGGAGGAGTCACGCGGCGGACTGGGTGGATGGAGTGCCGTGAACTCGTTACGCAAGACCCAGGAAGGCGGAGGTGGTGGGGCTGGCCAGCTGCGGGAGCGCGGCGGGCGGGGAGGGAGCCGGGCTGCGGCGGGACGGTCTGGGCCGCGAGCGACAGAGGCCTCCTGGCAGATCGGGCCCTCCAGCTGGGCTCCACGCTTCGTGGAGCGGCCTGCCCGGTGCCTCCAGACGTGCCCGGCGGGGTGTTGGGAGGTGGCGGCTCCCCCGGCCACAGACCCACACCCAGGAAGGGAGTTCCCCGCCAGGCTGCCCCGGAACGCGGAGCTGCCAACCTGCCGTCGCAGCAGCTGCCCAAACGCCCGGCCCCTGGGAACGGGGGAGAATGCAAAAGGAATGCGTAAGATCCGGAGAAAAGGGACATCCAACCCATAATCAGAGCAGCAGAGCTGGGAGGGGCCAGAAGGCCCTGGGGCCCACCCCCTGCTGTTGCAGGACACCAGTTCACACCATCCCACTCAGGAGGCTGCCCAGTTTCTCAATGGTGGCAGCGAGTTCCAGCGGTTACCTCCGCTGGCCTGTTCTGCGCCTGCCACAAATGGATTTCCTCGGGTGACCCGGAGTCCCACAGGAGGGCCCAAGGCCCCCTCTTTCCCCTCGCCGCACTCGGGGCCCTCTCTGAACTCCCCCACGCCCCTGCTACCCCCTGCCCCGATGGGGGCCGCTGGCTTTGCTTAGCACTGGCTGGACACGGGCGGGAGGGGAGCGGGCGAGCAGCCTGCCCCGTCTCCTTCAGCCACAGGCAAAGGCATGGGGTCACCCAGGGACCCTTCCCGAGCCAGCACCCACCCGCCCCATAACGGGGGAAAAGGCACCGGGGGCACGGATGCTCTATTCAATTTCTGCGCTGAAGCTGGCTGGGCGGTGAGCCATGGCGATGCGCAGTCCTGCCGGTTACACATGGCCAGACTCATGAGCCACGACGACTGCCTAGGTTTGGTTTTTTGGACCACGGGTTCCGACTGTAGCGTGCCTCCCCCCCAACCCAGAGGCCCATGTTCGGGTGCCTTGTCGAGCGGACAAGCGACCCAGAGCGGCTCAGCTCCTTCCGCCTGCAGCGGAAGCCACTGGCTGGGCGGGCCGCACACGTGCGCACCCCTTCCGGCAGAGCGGTGGCGGTGTGCGAATCCGGCCGTTGCCTCCGGATCCGGATCAGTGCACCCCTGAAGACACGTGGCCGGGAAGGGGAGGCGTCGGCCTCGCGGCCCTCTCACCCTGCCCGTGGCCTTCTCCACACACCTCTAGTCGGCAGCGGTGGGCAGGGGGCTGCGGCCCGACCCAGCCCACTCTGCTTGCCCTCGTCTGGCGCCTTGCAGCCTTCGCCGTCTTGCCGCAAAGCGTGGCAAGGGAGGCCGGTCCTGCACGGCGCCGACCAGTCTCGTGGCCCCACGCCGTACGCCGAGCGGGACTCCCAAGGGGGCTCAGTGCGGACTTTCGGGAAGGCTCTGGAAAGCCACTCCGATGGGCTCGTTGCGCAGCTTTGCTCGTTGTGCCCCTGGCCGCGCTCGCTCATCCTGGCCTGGCTGCTCTGAAGGACGGCCCAGTCCGGGTCCGGCCGGGTTCCCAGGCGGCCACTGCAGGGGGACACGGCGTTGTCCCTTCGGGAGCGGGGGGAACGGAGGAGGCAGGACTGTGGCAGCGGGGCCTTCGAACGCCACGGGGCTCACAGCTGCTGCCACGCGGGTCCGTTCGCCACTCGCGCTCTCGGCTCGTCCCTCAGGTTTTGAATATGTCGCTGCTTCGTTTTGAAAACGGGAAGCTCCGCAGGGCCTCTCTGGGCTGCAGGCAGGACAGGAAAGCGCCGGAACGCGTTGGAGAGGCCCACAAAGGCAGCCCTTCTCAAAATCCGCCTCTGCATCTCGCAGGCTGTCCCTTCGCCGGCCCAGCCGGGCCCCCACGGGCAAGCGCTGGTCGCCCCGCTCGGCATGCGTCGGTCGTCCTCTGAATTTCTCCCCCTGCTGTCGTCACGATGCACCACGCCAGCAGGTTGACCGCGGAGGAAGTGGTGCTCAGGGCCGGGCGGGATGGGCCCTCCGCCTCTCCCGGTGTCCCCCAAGCAGCGGCGCCGCAGAGAGCGCGGCACTCCAGGGCCCCCTTCCTGGCCCCCGACTGGCTCAGGGGAGCGCCCTTCATCGCCCCGCGCGACTCCATGGCTCTGGAGAGGCCGCTGGGCTCCCGGCCCCATTCACAGGGGCCGCGAGAGCGCTCCCTGGCACCAGCGCTGCTCCTGGCTCCAAGCCCTGTCCTTTTTCTCACCTTCCAAGGCACTGGAATGAGGTGCCCAGGGGGAGCCTGGATGCAGCCCAGCCGCCCTCCTTCAGCCACCTGGCCTCTTCTGCCGCTCCCAATCCCGCTTCCCGGCAGGCGTTCCAGGCGCCCCTTCGGTATTCAGGCCATTCACTGGCCGAATCCCCCTGCGGGCCGGGCCCAGCCATCTGGCCCCGCTGGCCCCCCCCCCCCCCCCCCCCCCGCTGCATCTGACCCACTTGGATCCACCTTTGCTTGACCGGGAGCCTCCCGGGGCCTGGACCTCGTCCCCCCTCCCCTCCTGCTTTCCCTCTTTCTCTCCTAACACAGCAAAATTAAGCGTGTGGCTTTGGGAGTGGAGCGATTTGACCATTCTCATTAAGGCGATCTGCCCTTCACTTGCTGACGGGCCTCGGTTTCCCAGAGGCAGACGCAGCACTCTTTCATGGCCTGGACCCAGGCCCGGGCCCAGTACAAGCACCGCAGCCGCTCGGGCCAAGCGAGCAGCGGCCCTGCCGACTGGCCGCCGACCCAGGCCGGCGGGCATCCGGGCTGCACTGCCCTGGCGGAGGCAGGGGCATCTCGGGCTGGATCCTGGCCCCCGTCCTCAGAGCACGGTGGCTCTGGGTCCACGGGAGGACTGCTCCACTGCCCAGCCCCGCTCGTCCTCCAGGCCACCAAGGTGGCCTCCCCAGGACAGGGGCAGCGCTCCAGCTCCAAGCACTCCGGGCAGAGGCTCTGCGGCTCGACAGCCGTGCCCATGACGCTGAGAGGGCACTGCGAGTGCTTTTGAGGGGCCGCGGCTGGGCCAAGCCACCGAACTCCGAGCGCAGGCTCTGTCCCGCTCTGCGCGCCGCCGAACAGCTGGCGGGCACCCCGGCCTCCAGCAGCTTCCCCAACTCCAAGGGGGGTGGCTGGCCACATCCCCCAGCGGGGGCCCGGCCACAGGTTTGGCCAAGGGGTGTCTCTGCAGCGAAAGGGGGCGGTCCGCCAGGGACGCCCCTCCTCGTTCCCGCGGGCAGCTCCCACGGCAGTGGCCACGTTTGGCCCGGCGCTGCCCCCACTCCCGGCGGGACGGCGGGCACGGCCAGAGGCTCCCACTCACCGACGTCGGACTCTTTGTGGGTTTTGATGATTTCTGCCAGCTCAAAGTTCCCCGCGATGATGGCCACCTGCAAAGGACGGAGGGACGAGAGGGAGGCGTGAGGGGGCCACACGCCACACGGTGGCCACTCAGCAGGCGGCCCCCTCGCCCCCTTAAGGGTGGGGAGCACCTGCCGGGGGCCCCCACGCCTCGAGATGCGGCCAAGACTGCGCCAGAAGGACTGAGCAGCGCCCTCCCCACGGCCCCCTTGTCCCGTTGGGGACGCTGCAAGCCCTGCACCCCCAGAGCCGAGCCACTCGGTGTGGCCGAGGTGTCCCCGGGGGCTGGCTGCACACTTGGGGACCCCTTCGCTCGCCATCAGGGCCCCGGGGGTCTCTCCGGGACTGCCCGGCCTCTGCAGCTCCCGGCCACGTGAGGGGGTCTGGCTGCCCGGAGCTGGGAGGCAACGGGGCTTCTCCGGGGGGCCCTGGGGCTGCTTTCAGTCTGTTCTGCCCAAAGGCGAGTCGCAGCGTTTATTCCCCGGTTCTTTTAACAGCACTGCTATTTTAGGGCTCCTGTGGCTGCCGCTCGCCCCCCCCCCGAGCGGCCCCTCCGACAGAGCGGCAGGGCCTCACGAGTGGGCAGGGCTGCGTGCACATGCACCCACGGGTGCGCCCAGGAGGCCGGTTGTGGGGGGGGGGGCTTGGCTGTTCTGCAGCGTGTTCTTTTCCACCAGGGCTCGGAAACGCCCTCTGTGGCCAGCGGGGCAGGGACTCCGCTCTCGGCAAGAACCCGCAGAGCTGCCACGAGGGGCTGCCAGGAGCGCGTACGGCCCCTCGCCAGCGGGAAGGCGCAGAATCAGGCCACGGGATCCGGTCCGAAGGAGGAAGGCCTGGTCTGGGGGGTGGGGGAGCAGTGGGAAGGAAGCCACGAGGGCGGCCGCAAATCCTGCCCAGAGCCCAGGCTGAAATCTGCGCCGGGGCCCACGGGCAGGGCAGGGCAGGGCAGGGCAGGGCCGGCAGGAGGGGCAGCCGGGCTGCGGGCAGGGGGCAGCCCGGGTGGGCCAGGACCAGCCGCCAGTGCCCCGCAGTGAGGGCGGTTGCTGGTCCTTCCTCGCATGCACCCAGGCAGGGTCAGGCAGGGACACGGATCTGGGCCACTCCCCTGCAGCTCCCTCTACCAGATGGACGGCCCGGAGCTCCGTGGAAAGGCGGGTGGCCGGGCGCTTCCTCGCGTCCGTACGACCACCCCAGAGAAGCCCCAGAAACGGTGCCCTGCCAGTCCCAAAGAGAGCAGGGACCGGGGCTCCGGAGCCGGCAGGGCCCTCGCCCAAGGGGAGACGGGCGAGGGGCTGAGGCTCGCTCGCGGCCGGGTGGGCTGCAGTGGGGCCGAGGCGCTGCCGCCCGCTCTCGGGCACGGAACGAGGCACAAGGCTGGGACATGCCGCAAGGTCAGGAAAAGGTGCGTGGCGCATCAGCGGGGCCAGCCTGGCCCAAAGGAGGGGAGAGGAGAGCGGCTGATCGCAAGCTACACTCCGAGGAGGAGCCCCAAAACGTGAGAGCGACTCGGGAGGCTGATGCGGAAGGGGCCCCCACGGCGTCAGCTGGGCCCGTGGGGCTGCTCTGCTCCTGCCCCGGCCCCAGTGGCCTGCCCCCCTGAGCACGCGACCTGGGGCGATTCGCCGCACTGCTGTGACCACCCCGCTCTCTGCTCCTGACGGTAGCAGGGGGCTGGGGAGCGGGCTGCCCATCAGCACACGGCCCCGGGGCGCCTTGCGTGAAGCCAGAGGGCGACTCGCCCGGCCCCTCATGCTCATGCGGGAGCAGACATGCAGCCGTTGAAATGCGTGGGGGCAAGGGGGGGCCTGCAGCCCCTGTTACATCCTGCCAAAGCAGACAAGGGCTGGAAGGGGCCCCCCAGGACCCAGTCCAGGCCTCCTCCTGGAGTGGGGCGGCACCGTCTCTGCCAGCTGCCAGGCACACCGTGCGAACTGCCCCGGACGGATCCCGCCAGCCCCTCACTCCCCTCCGAGGGCCAGGCCTGTGGGGGCCTCGACGCGCCCTGGGCAGCTGCGGCCAGCCCCCCGGAGGGGCCCTTCCGGGTCAGCTCAGCGGAAGGTCACATCCCCCGACCGGAGGGACGGGCTGGACTCTCCCGGTCGGGCTGAGGGCACGTGTGCCCTCTGGCGCTGGGCAGGTGGGCGCCATCCGAGCCCTCGCAAGGCCGGCGACCTGTCCTGTCCCTCGAAGCCCCCACTTGGCCCCGGAGGGCAAGGGGGGCCCCTGCAGCTTGCGCAATCCTTGCCATGCTCAGCCTGTTCTCTGGGCCGTGGGGGGGGGGGGCAGGAGCTGCGCATGGCCTCGTCCACAGTGAGCCATCGAGCTCCCTCTGTGGCCAGGCGAGGCAAAGCAAGGCAAGCGAGGCCGGCTGCCGCGGCCCTTCCCTCTGGAGACTCACTGACAAAGGCCGGGATAAAAATAGCCCCGGATCGATCCTTCACGGTGCCTGCCTGCGTGCCAAGCGAGATCCTGCCGAGGGACCGTCTCCAAAGTGCCGCTCGCTCAGCACTGCCTGTCCAAGAGGCCTGGCGACCCTCCGCAACATCCGGCCGAGGGAGTCGCCCGGCTCCCTCGTGCCCAGGCAGGTCCTCCAGGTCGGGATGCCAGCTGCCACGGCCGTGGGAACCCTGCTCCACGGCCTGCGCTGTCGGGCACAAAGAGGGGCCGTGATGGCACGGCGAAAAGGGCACGGGGCACGGGCGGCATGGAAGGGTCGGCCTTCCTGCCCTCCGCGTCTCCTTCAGGACTGTCTGGGGCCTCCTGTCTGGCTGCAGAAAGCTCCAGACCCACAGAAGTCCCAGAGCCCCCAACCCCCGAGTTTTCCAGGGCTGCAGTCTTGGCCTCTCTGGGGTCCTCCGAAACCCTGCTTTTGCCTGGCCGGACGCTGCGAAGGCCCCGGGGCGGGGACCTGGCCGGCCAGCACCGCAGGGCAAGCGGCGAAGTGTGCCTGGAACGTCCTTCTGCCCAGTTCTGCAAGGCGGCACGGGACAGAGCCGGCCGGGGGAGCTCTGCGACCCTCCCGAGGCCTTGGACGGCAACGCGGAGCATTGCTGCGCACGTGGCGGGTCCGGGCATGGAGCGCTGCCTCAGGCCCGCGAATCCTGGCCCGCTGGGGCCCGGCCGGAGGCCCCCGCTCCCAGCCCCCGGGCCTGGTAGCCACGCGGCAGCTCCTGCCCACCTCCTTGCCCCGGCTGGCCTCCCCAGCACGGCTCACACGCCTCCCTTCGAGGGGCCGCTAGGCCGCCCCAGAGCCGCCCCCTGGCACCTCCCAGCACGGCTGGCTCGGGGACAGGGGAGCCCACGGGGGGGGGGGCGCTGGGGGCTGAGCCGGACCGGGAGGCACCGAGTCCTCACCTCCGCCCGGCCACAAGCCTCCACGCCGGCTTCGGGCAGTCCCCGTGGTCGGCCAGTGCCACCCGCAGGGCTGCCAGGAGCCTGAGCTGGAGAGCGGCGGGGGGGGGGGGTCGCTGCACGCCGCCGTGGGCTCTGCGGAGGGAAAAGCCGGCCGGAAGCGCGAAGGGAGTCCCGCAGAGCTTGTGGGGCAGGGCAGGATGTGCCCAGGAGGCGAGAGGCCTGGGAGAAGCCCCGATCCCTTTTCCGAGGGGGACGGAGATGCCTCTGTGCGCGGGGCACCCGGAGGAGCGCCCCCTCCCTGCCCTGGCCTCGCTCGCCTACCTGGAACGCCGTCTGGCTGTTGTAGTTCCGGATCTCCTTGCTCGCCCCGCGGAAGAGGAGGACCCGAGCACAGCTTTCCTGCGAAGGGCAGAGGAGGGGGTGTCAGCCTGCCTTCTGGCCGCCGGGGCGGGGGCATGGGTGGCGGATCGCGGGCTCAGCCCGGGAGATGGCAGCAGTGGCTGTCCGGAGCTGGCTGTGTGCCCAGCGGCGGAGAAAACGGCAAACACAAGCCACGGCGGCATCCGCGGCTTTGGCTGCGCAGGTGCACGCACCTGCCTTCAGCGGGGCCAGGCCCCAGGTCACCTACTCCTGCCTTCCCCAAGGTGGCGCCCTCCAGACGTGGGAAGAGGAGCCGCAACAGCTTGGGCAGTTGCAGCCCAACGCATCTGGAGGGCCGAATCCTGCCCTGGCTGGCAGCAGCCCCGCAATGTCTTGGCCAAGGGGGGGGGCTTATCGAGCCCCGCACGGATCTGAGCTTGACCGCCTGGAAAGCCCAGCTGACCAAGGAGGAGCGCCCCGGGAGGAGCGAGGAGCGTGGGCCGCTGCAGCGAGAGCTCGCCGTGCCCGTCGTCTCGCCCCCAAGGAGTCCGGCCGGGTCCAGCCTGTTGCCTCCGAGCCGCACGGGGGACACGCAGCTCCTGGCCCCACTTCTGCACAAACGCCTCACGCCCTTCCGAGGGAGCCAGGGCCCCCCGGGCTCAAGCAGAGCGGGTACCCCAGGGTCACGAGCCCCCTCCCCGAAGGCTCAGCCGCAACAGACGACCGGGCAGGAACGTGCGCCTGGGGCTGCTCCTCCGCCCCCAAAGCTGACCCCCCCCCCGCCAGCCCACAGTCTGCGCGAAAGGGCAAGGGACACCATCTGGAGCGGTCCTCTTCTTCCTGGCCCACCCTGACCCCTCCTTTCTGCGGGGCCAGCGCCAATCTGGCAAGCGCAACCTGGCCCAGGACTGGCGATGTCCCCGGTGCCTGAGCTCCGCGGTCGGCTGCCGACTCCGACCGGGACGCAGGTCTGGCCGGCCGGGAGCGCCTCGGTCCGAGCCCTGGGCAGGGGCGAGGCGAGCTCAGCGGCCCCCGGCCGGGGGGCTTTGACGGGCACATTGCAGCAATCCCACGGGCAGGACAGGGATTCCTCGGGGCGCCCACTGGCCCCCGCCCCGAACAAGTATCCCCCAGGGCAGCTGCCGCACTCCAAAAGTCAGCAGACCTGGGGCGGGGGATCTCTGCAAAGGAAAGGGCGAGGGGCCGGACCCGGGACCCTCCTCCCGAGCCCCAGGTCCACGGCAGCTGGGGGGCTGGGCCTGAACGCCGCACTTACTCTGGCTCCCGCCTGGAGGGAGGCCTGGCTCTGTGCCGCCCCGACCCCGTCCAGGCCCGAGCCGGGGCGCAGGGGGGGCAAGGGGGGCGGGGGCCCGACTCACCTGGTTGTAGAGCGCGCACACGTGCAGGGCCGAGTTCCCCGAGGCGTTCTGCGCCGTCATGTCCGCCCCGTAGAACAGCAGGTGCTCCAGGTGCTGCACGTGACCATAGCGGCAGGCCTGTGGGGCGGAGAGAGGGTCTGGAGGAGGGGCAGCGGGCAGCGCCGGACCCAGCGCAGCCCCCCGAGAACCGCGCACCGCCTCGTCCTCGACGGGCGGGAACGCCCAGCGCGGGCGCTCGCAGCCCTGCTTCCCGGGACCTGGCGCCCCGCGGCCGAGGTGGCAGTTCCCCGGCCGAGCCAGCCGAGCGGGACATGAGGGGCCTGTCGGGGCTGCGCCCCCCCCCCGCCACACGGGCCGGGCCACAGGGGCCCCCTCCGCAGAGGCCGAGGCCAGGGGGCACGCGGCCCCTCGCGGGTCGGCCGTGGGAAGCCCTGACCCCTGGCCGTGCCGCACTTTGTGGCCCGCCGGGCAAGCAGCCCGTCCGGGGAGGGCCACTGCGCGGCTGGGGATCCCCGGGACCCATGTGCCTCCGTGGGGCGCAGCGAGGGCAGGGCGGTTCCCCTCCGGCCGGCTGCCCCGGCCCCACTGCCCCGGGCCCCGCGGCGGGGCTCGGGGGCAGCCCCCCAGGGCACCGGCCGAGCGGCCCCCCGACCCGCGGGGCGCCCCCCCCGGCGCTCACCTGGTGGATCTCCTGCCAGCCGTTCTCGTCCAGGCAGCCCACCCTGGCGTAGTCGTGCAGCAGCAGCTCGCAGCAGTAGGGGTCCCCCCCGACCATGGCGCTGTGGTACAGGGGCGTCAGCCCGCGGCTGTCCTTGTAATCTGTAGAGGCACCCAGGTCTAGCAGCGTCTGCCAAACAGTCACAGGCGGCGGGGCGGTCAGTGCCTGCGGGGCTCCGGGGCCCGAGCGGGGCGGGAGCAGCGGGCGCCTCCAGGGCCGGAGCCTGCGGACCCGGGAGGAGGCAGGTCACCGGCCCCGCAGGGGCAGGCCGGGGCCGGGCGCAGGTCTGCCGGGGGAGGCGGCGTCCCAAGAGGCTCTGAGAGTGCGGAGCGGAGTCTGCCCTCGGCCCTCCACGGACCCATGCGGCACCCCTGGGCACAGCCGGGCTCACGCCGGGAACGGGGGGGGGCACAGCGCCCTGGGGGGTCTTCAGCCTTTCCCTCGGCCCACCCCCATCCAATGGCCACGGCCAGCCCTGCCCAGGGGGCAGCAGAGGACGCCTCCCACAAGCCGCCTCCGTGAGAGCCAGGAGCTGCGGGAAGGGCACCGCCGCGAGGAGCAGAGGAAGCCCAGCCGTCTCCCGTGCCAAGCGGGGCATGTGGTGGGTCGGCCAGCCTTGCCCCCGTGCCCCGCAGGCGTGTCGGGCTGCAGCTGCTGCGCCCCCAGCTGGGCCACTGGGGGCAGGCAAGCGCCGACCGGCGCAGGGCCCCGGAGTCAGGAGGGGCACCGCAGGTGGCCGGTCCAGTCCCTGCCGAGGGCCGGGCTCCTGCACAGGGGCCGGAGCCAGGGAAGGGCCAGCAGGGCAGCTGCCTTGGAGGCCCTCATCACCCAGGCTGGCTGGGGGTGCCGGGAATGGCAGCCCGGACAGCCGCAGGGCGCAGGGCCAGGTCGGTCGAAGCTGCACCGGGCTCGTGCCGGGGCTCCCTCCGTGCACCGCGATGCCACGTGCTCGGTGGGGCCGGCCCGGTGCCCAGGGACGAGGCGAGAGCGTGCCGGGCGGAAGCAGGAGGGGCGGCCCAGCCCCACCCGGCAGCGGCAGAAACCCCGGCCCAGGGGGGAGGGCCGTGCGCCGGGCCCGCGGCCACCCGGGGGGACTCACCATCATGGCCGTGTGGTTGCGGCAGCGCACCGCCTTGTGCAGCGCCGTCATGCCTTCGCGGGTGCGGAAGTCCAGGTGGGCCCCGCCATTCTTCAGGGCCTTGATCACCTCCACGCAGCACTCCAGCTGGACGGCCAGCGTCAGGGGGCATTCTGGGCGCCCAGGCAGGGAAGAGGGGTGCGGAGTGAGAGCCTCGCTCGGAGGGGTTCTGCCGCCCTGGCCCCGCTCCACGGGCAAGGAGAGGCACGCGCGCTGCCGGGGCCCTCCTGCCCTCCCCACACTCCGCGCCTGCTCCTCCCGCCCCTCCGCTCGCAAAGCACCCCTTGCTGCCGAGTGCAGCAGCCACCACAGCCGGCAGAGTCGGCCTCGGAGGCAGAGGTGGGAAGGGCAGCCGGACCGCCTGGAGGGGCCCCTGTGCTCCACGCAAATGCCGGGAGCGCCCCCCCCCCGGCACTCTGACAACGCAGACGACAACCGCAGGGGCCGGGATGTTCTTTGGATTGCCCGGAGCCTCTGGCCGGGGGCGGGGGCAGGGGCAGGCTACCCCCCGGGGCCCCCTCATGCCATCCTTCGGCCGTGCCAAGAGCACCGCCCTGCCCCGAAGCCCCTGCCCTGGGTTGGGCCCGAGCAGGGTGCTGCTGGGAGACGCCGGAAGCCCGGCAGGAGCTGCTCTGCGGAGGCACGAGATGCGGGCGGCTTCGGGGGCCAAAGCCAGGCACGAGTGGGCACAGGACAGGGGGCGGCAGTCCTGCCGGGCTGGCTACCCAGAAACGTTTCCCCAGGGCGCCTCGGCGACAGTGCGCACCCGTGCGGTTAGGAGCACAGGACTGGGACTCTGAGGATCCAGGCCCATCCCCGCTGGGCCGCGGAGCTGGGCAGAGCTGGGGGACTCTGGGCCAGGTGCAGCAGGGCTGTTGCTGTGGGGATAAGGCTGAGAGGAGGAGGAGGAGGAAAGACACTTTGACTTCCGTGCAAGGAAAAGGCGGGCTACACATCCAGTGCATACGTAAGCGAGAGGCGGTTTCTCGGCCCGTGGGCAACTCCAGCAGGAGATCCCACAGGATGTCAAGCGAGGCGGGAGCAGCACAGGACGCCAGACCTCCCCACGGCCGCTGGCCCTGCTCCAGGGTGCTCCGGCTCACGCAGGCACTGGCCCTCTGCTGGGGTCAGGCATGGGGGGAGAAAAGCGGCTCTGGGGGCAGGCAGCTGCAGAGAGCGCAGCCTCGCTGCCCCAGGCACGCTCCGCTCCGGGCCGGGGGCCGCTGCAACCGTTCGGGGCGGCCGATCAGCACCCCGCCGAACCTCGGCTTCCGCTTGGCGCTTCAGCCCACAGCGGAAGGTCAGCAAGAACTGCTGGCCCAGTGAATCGCTTCCTTCTGCACGAGTCCCGAGGGCCCCGTGAGCCTTCTCAGCGCGAATGCGCAGAACTGGGCCGGCCACATTTTCTCCACCCCATAACGGTCTGTGACTCGGGGCGGCAGGTCCCAAGGAAGCTGCCGTGAGCCAGAGAGCGGCATGCGGAGCCTCCGTCCTGCATCCGCCCCCCAGACAGAGGAGCGGCCGGCTCTGCAAGCACAGACCCACCTCACCCGCTTGCTGGGCCCGGCTGACCCACAGGAGCCTTCCAGAGGCTTCCTTGGCCTGCCCCGAGCAGTCCAGCGATCGCGCGCCCTCTGGATGGGCCATCCGAGGACATGAGCGCCTCCCGCGAAGGCGGCTGCTCTTTCGGGCCGGTCCTCCGCCGGTGCGGCACGGCTGCAGGAAGGCTGCCTGCGGCACACGGCCCGCAGAAGGGGCCTGACCCCGCTGGAGACGGGAAGGGGGTGGCAGGGCGGGGAAGGCTTCCGAAAGGCGCCGCGCCGAAAAGGGTCAGCTGCTCGGCTGCCCGGAAGACACGCTCCTTCTTGGAGATGGAGGCAGGAAGTGGATGCAGGACCGATGCATTTTCGAGTGGCCTTCTCCAACCTGACGCTCTCCGGCAGCGCTAGTGGGGGATTCTGGGAGGGGCAGGCTGACCCCCTGGAGGGCGCTGGGGTGGGGAAGGCTGTTTCAACAGGCGCACCTTACCCGAAGCAAATGCCCGGGGATGTGGCTGCAGCGCGTGCCGTCCGTGCCCAGGCTTGGGCAGCAAAACATCTGGCAAGCACCGGAGCCATCGCCTCTCAAGAGGGAGCCGCACGGCCCCTCAGACCCCCGGGCCCGGGAAAGGGCGTCCTGCAAACGAGGCCAGACGGCAGGCCCGGCTGGGGCTGTGCAGAGCTGCCGCCTGCGGCGTGTCCCGTGTTGTCGCAGGGCCGCCTGCAACGCTGCTGGAGTGAGCAGGAGAGGGGAGGCCAGGGGGCCCGGGAGGCTGGGGCACCTGTCCAAGAACTGCCCCCTCCCCTCCCAAGGAAGGCACAAGGGGGCACCCAGGGACCCTGCTGGCCACAGCCCTTCCCGCCCCACCGCTCGCCAGCACCACTGCCGTCCTCCCCAGGCCGGGGATACTGGGAGCTGGAGTGCAGCGCACCTGCGGACCCCGGCTGCGGGAAGGCTGCTTCCCGACTCCACGGCTGCACGTTCCGGCGGGGTCCCAGGGAACCCTTTCAAAGCCCAAATAGGAAACATGGACGCTGCCTCTTCTCCGCTCCTATTTTCTTTTTCTGCTGCTCGCCAGCTGGCAGAGACTGGCTGAGGTGCCTTCGGGTGCAGCGTGTGCCACTGCATCACCAGCATGTCTATCTGTGCAATTAATTATTGTTTGGATAAAAGCAAAGCGCTTACGCAGTTTCACTTCATAAATATAACAGGCAGAGCTGCTAGATGAGCTAACTGCTGATTCAAATTATTCATAATGCATTCCGTGTCCTTAAAGTGCTAACTAAAGTTCAATAAGCAAGTCATAATTGCTTATTAAGCCCCCGCCTCCAACCCCTTCGCCGTGGCTCCCCCCCCACCCGCCCTTCAGCACCCAGCACAAGCACCCAGCCTTCATCTTCAAAGCTTGCCTCCGCCTGGGCCAGCACCGCTTTCCTCCCCCTGCCCAGCTGCAGTTCCATCATCCTCAGCTGCTCCAGTACTCGGCTCCCCCGAGTGCCTCTTCCCGTCCCCCCCGGCTGCCCCCAGCACCCAGCATGCCATTGTGGGGACTGGAGGGGGCCTCTCGCTCCCTCCCCCTTTTCCACATCACCTCTCCCCCCAAGCCCACCATCTCTGACCCCAGCCCGCCAGCGACCTTCTGGCAACCCAAGGTGTGGGACTACAAGCCCCAGAATTCCACAGCCACGAGAGATGAGAAAGGAGGGCAGTGTGGCCAAACACATCCGGGGGCACCCAGTTGGCGAGGGCTGGAGCCGAGCCCACTTCTGAGCAGCGCCACTGCCTAGGCCCGTGTTCAGGGCCCTTGCGCCCCCTCCCCTCTGAGGCTGGGCAGCGGTGCCAAAGGCACCAAAGCCCCTTCCCCAGATGCGTCCAAAGTAAAAGAGAGGAAAAGAAGCCGGGTGCCCGTGGATGGCAGAACGGTGACAGAGAAAAGGGGAAGCGCTCGATTCCTGGTTTGACTCAGTCTTCCCCCAGAGGAGGAGTCATGGCCTTCTCGGAGAAGGGGAAGCACAGGCTGAAGGGGCAGGACGGCAGCTCGGGGCCGGCAGGCCGAAGGCCAAGGATTGCCTGATCGCTTCGAAAGCCTTCAGAGCTCCAGGGCCCCGTGCACTGCACCCTCGGGTCACAAAAGGGCCGCCGGCTGCTGCCTCTGAGCAATCATGGCGGACGGGGACGTGCCAGGTGAGCGGAGAAGGGCTAAACCTGCCTCTGTCTTCAAGAAAGGGAAAAAGGAACCTGAGGGCTGCAGGCCAGGCCGTCTGACATCGGTCCCCTGGGAGCACTCTGGAGCAGGTCAGAAGGCAGTCCGCCTGCTCGAAAACGACGCGGTGGTGCCCAGAAGCCAACATGGGTTCTCCCGCACTAGAGGCGTTCACGAAGGAACTGGACAGCCGCCCCAGTGGGACGGAGTGAACGGGCGCCCTGCAACCGCAGGGGGCTCGTGGCCCCTTCCAGCCCCGAGAATCCTCCACTCTTCTATGGAGCGTGAAGAACAGATCCTGATCGGGTCTCCTCCCCAATGCGCTGCTGGAACGCTGTGGGCACACTCTACCTAGACTTCAGCAGATCTTTGGGCAAAGCGCCCTGTGATATAGCAAACTGGCTCGGAGTGGGCGGATCCGCAGCCCCCAGAATCGCAGGGTGGCAATATTTGTAAGGCTCGAGCGAGCGAGCGAGCGAGCGAGCGAGCGAGCAAGCGAGCAAGCAAGCAGCACTGCAGCGATTTCTGGGCCTGGGGCTGGCCAAGCAACCTCCGTGTGGGACCGGAACGGGAGCCTGGCCTCACCCGGCACTCCTCTATCTTTATTTCTTGGATTTCCACCCCTCCTGGACCCCAGTTCTGCTCTGGCGGCAGCTTCTGCGGTTGATCCTGCAAGGGCTGCCAGGCGCCCTCACTGGAACTCGCAGCCGACCGCTCTGCTCGTCTCCTTCCACTCAAAAGGTCTACACGGCGGCGGCTCAGAAGTTTAGAGTCCTTTTGCGTCTCAGGGAAGCGGACAAAGCGAGGAGAAAACAGACAGCCGCCCCTTGAGGTCAGCAGCAGATGCGCTCCTCCGGGAACCCTCCGTGAAAGATATTACGAGGGCGAGAACCCAGAGAAGGGCCTTCTCTGCGGTGGCGCCCCGACTGTGGAACACGCTCCCCAGAGAGGCCCGCCTGGCGCCGTCATTATTAGTTTTTCGGGTTTTAATATTTTACTGTATAACTTTGTTTTTGTTGTAAGCCGCCCCGAGGCTTTGTTGCGATGGGGGCGGCATAAAAATGTTTTAAATAAATAAATGTTTTAAATAAATAAATAAATAAATAAAAACCAGCTACGCAAGCAGCACAAGAGACGAGGGGGACGAATCCCTCAGCCCAGCCAGCCGAAACTGACCGCATCAGCGCACAGCAGGCTCGCCCCACCGGCAGCCCCCCCCCCGCAGCCCCCCGCCCCCTCACAGCACGTTGGCTGCCACCCCACGGCAGGCCAGTTCCAGGGCCCCTAGTGGGGCACCCAGTTCCGTCCCCTTTCTGGGATCACTGGGACCAGAAAAAACGCAACCGCTCGGGAGGAACTGTGTGCAAACTCTGCCACTGCAGACGCGGCGCATCGGACACGGACTGGCCGGGGGGGGGAGGGGGGAGCAGTCGGCCTGGCCCTCTGGAGGGCACCAGGCTGCAGAAGCTGTTCCACATCGCCTTGAACCCGAAGGGCCGCTGGAATAGGGTGGCAAAGCACTCCTCAGGTCCCGCCCCCGCCAGAATCCCCACCTGCGGCGACGTGGGAAAAGCCGTGGCACAGCTGTGCCGGAGCCAGCGCGAGTCCCCCTCCGCATGCATTCGTGGCCACCTTCTTTCTCCCGTGGCTGCTTTCCACGGGACCGGACTGGGAAGGGCTACCCTACAGGTCCTCCCGCCAGGGGTCTTCACAGCCTCCAAGAGAGTTTCTTCGTCTTTCGAGTTAAAGAAGCGCCTCCAAGCTTCGAGCAATCTGGGCCTACGACGGGCTTCCGTCTTGTTATCCCAGGAACCTCCCGCTGCCCCACTCGGTTGTTCGCGCGCCCGTCCCGGCTCATCCTGCCCGCAGCCCCTTCCCCGGAGCAGCTCTGCTCACCTCCAGTGTCCGGGTCATGGAAGTTGGGGTCCAGTCCCTTCTCCAGCAACCTGCTGATCTTCTCCACATTCAGATTCTGCACATACTCCATGAACTTCTTCAAATTTGCCTGCAACCCAAAGAAAACCCGTCACACGACTCGCCCCTTCCTCATCCAGGCCCCGGGACAGTGCCCACCTCACCGAGTGCCCCCACGGGCCGTGCCGAAACCCTCCCCGTGCCCGGGGCAAGGCAGGATCGCGTTGCCGGGCTCTCCCACCCGCAGTCTGAGAGGAGCCGTGTGCAGCCTCGGCCTTCCCAGCCAGGCCTGGGCCCCCGGGGTGTGTCTGTCGCACCCAGCCCTAGGAGGGTCCCGATACATCCACGCCCCCTCCCCGAGGCCCATCTCCGCCCCCCACGCCCAGTCAGTGCTACCCATCTGCTCCAATCTGAGAAGCCGGAATGCCTCCCTGGGCCTCGGGTCGCAATCAGTCGCACGCGGGGGCAGGAAACGGCCCTGCGGCTCCCTGTGCTCCCGGCCAGCCCCACCAGCCCCGGGGCCAGACATGCCAGTCTGGGGCCTGCCCCACGTACCCACCCACCCCCAGGGCGCAGCTTCACCAAAACAGCCAGAGGAGCTCTGCGCCCCTCGCCAACGACAGGGACTCCGAGCTCCCCCTTCCCGTCCCGTCCTGTCCCGTCCCTTCCCTGGGTGACGGGGGCGTGGATCCCCCATCACGCCTGGGCTCTCCGAGGCGCACCAGCTGCTTAACTGGGACTCCCCCCTGCATGCGGAAGGGCAGCCCTTTCCGTGAAGCAACCGAGGATGCAAAGCCGGCACGGACCCCTTTCGGCCTTGCCAAGAGCAAGGAAGGGAGCCAGGCCAGCGGCCAGCAGCAGCAGGGACCGTCTCAGGCTGCCAACGAGCCCTCCAGAGGAAGGTGCCTCCGTGGGAGAGGAAGGCCCGGGGCGCTCAAGCCACAAGCACCTCGGGAGGCCCGCCCGATCGGCGGCAGACATTTTCGGGCTTCCTCCCAGGTGGGAGCGGGCGCAGACCTTGCCTGCGTGCTGGCCAAATGCCCACCGGAGCCCTTCCGGGCCGGGCCGGGCCGGTGCAGCCCTGGGCGTGTGGTCAAGGGAGCCAACGGCCAAGTGGGTGAGGGGGGGACGGCAACGGGGCCCCGGAGCAGCCCCGTCCACCTCCTGCTCCCCACCGGGGTTGGCAGGCTGCCTCTGGGAAGCCCACGCCAGCGCATGGGGGAAACGGTCCCACCCACATGGCGGGGCAGGAAAGGCAGAAGCCGCCAGTTCCCGTGTGGAGCTGGCGAGGCGACGGTGCCTGTATTTCCATTTCGGCATCTCCACGTGTTCCAGGCCCAGTCCTGTGCAAGCCCCGACCGCACCGGGGCCTGCAGCCCGAAGAACCAGGGCCGAAGGGGGCTGCTGGGTGCGGTGGCGCCCGGCTCTGCAGACCCTGCGCTCCTCGGGTTGCGCCTCGGTGACTGTGGGGCCGTCTCCAGGAAGCGCGTCCGCGCCGTGGGCCACGGCGGGCATTGGCGCCAGCCAGCGGCAGGCCGGGGGGCTCTGGGGGTCGCCAGCCTCGCCTTCCCCAGCGAGCCCCAGCGGGGCTCCGATGCTGCAGAGCACGGCAGGGCTGCCTGCCTGAGCTCTGTGCCCGACTTCTCCGATCCAGGCCGGCGGGGGATGGCGGACGGGCTGGCCGAGCCCACCTCCCCCGCTGGTCTGCCCATCGAGTGCGCTGCGGGGGGGGGAGGCTTTTATTCGTGGCCCTTTGGCCTTTGAGGGCAAGCACAGAATATCGGGCGAGAACGAGAAGATGCGAACCCGCCCCCAGCACTGGCTGCGTGGAGCCGTAGGAGGCCCTGGCCGCCCTCGCCAGAGGCTGGGACGAGCAGCCCCCTCCTGCTGGCAGGGACCGCAGACCCTCAGGGCTCCCCCGGCCTCCCGCCCCTCGTGGTCCCAAGCGCCACGCCAGCGTGGACGGCGGCTGAGCCGGCCTGCTCTCCCTCCGTGCCAGCGTGTGGCCGGGGGGCCAGGGCAGCTCCTCGGGCAGGACCGCGGAGACGCGACCTGGGGGCCGAGCTGGGACGGGCCACCCGGCGCCCTCCAGGCTCTGCATGGGGCTCCCAAAGCCCCGGCCAGCGCGGCCCGGCCAGTCGCGAGGTTCCCAGGGCAGCCGTGCTCCAAGCCGCCGGGGACACCGGCTTCCACCCCAAGTCAGGTGCCCTTTCCCTCTCCCTCAGGTCCACCACGGCCAAAGAGGGTATGCCAGCTTGGACGGGAGGTCTAAACCCTGCGCAACCACCTCCCCGAAGAGGAGTAACGTGTGTGCCGTCGTGGGCATCGATGCCTCCCTGAAGGGCCCTCCATCCCCTGGAAAGCGCAGCACATGTGCCTTCCGCTTCAAAGCCCAGAAACGGCCGGCGCGCGGCTCCGCTCCTGCCTCTTGCGAGTGATGGATGGCCCACGGCGGACTTGGCCGCCCTTGGGCCAGCACCGGCAAGGACGCGCTTCCGCACCGTGATCCCCCTGCTTTCTGCCAGGGTTGCCCGCCGTGCTCGGCTCTCTCGCTACCGGCCAAGGAGCCCCAGAGGCCTCCTCCCTCCCTTCCATCCATCCATCCGCCCTTCCCTCCTTCCTTCTGTCTATCTGCCCTCCCTCCCTCCCTCCCTCC